TATAAATGTGTGGATGCACATTTTTTCATTTTTTAAATAAATAGCTTATAAAAGCCTAAGTCTTTGATGAATAGCTCATAACTGTTATTCTGTAACCTTTTTTTTTTTTTTTTTTTATCACAAATTCTTCATGATTGAGTCGTTGATGAATTAGGTAGTCCCCTAAGAGACAATATTTTACGTGGAATATTAATTTTTCTAATGTGTGTTTGACATTAACAATAGTCGTTAAATCCCACCTTAAAAAATGGGATGAACTTTCTGGTGCAAAAAGAATATTTATTTGGTTGAGTATATTATTTCCCTGTTGCAGGGTTTACTTCATTTTATAGAACCACTGACCACACAAATATATATATGAATTGCCTGAAGATGGGATTAAATATTTCACGAATTTTAGCAAAAATACAAATTTTGTATTTCAGTTCGATTCAGTCCACAGGCCGAACAGACCCGGGTTTTTGACGGGCCTATAAATTAACCCCAATCCCGGGCTAGGAAATTCTGCACTCATATACATCTTATACATAAGCATATTTATCAAACAGAAGGCAGAGAATTTACTGTGTCGTCAAAAGTAAATGTCAGTTTGTTTGGACTGTGCTTTGATGTCTTTCAACTTCTTCAAAATGTTTGTGAAATAATCCTGCAGATATTTCTCCAAGGAACTAATATCCTTTGCTTCCACTCCAAGCAGATTGTATGTCTCAGCCATTGGAGCCGAAAAAACAACATCACTTGTAAGAACCTATAGAAAAGCAAGCCAAGTAAAGAAAAATCATGAATTAACTGCAAGGACGTAACTGCATCGACTGGCACTAAAATCATGATGATATTGTACATATCACGAGTATCGATAATAAAAAATGAAAAAAAAAAAAGGTTGTACCTCTGAGAATGCCAATCTATCAGCAACATCGTTGGTCCATTCGAATAGACGAGTCAGTTGCCGAGTAAATCTCAGAACAGAGACAGGGACAGTGGTGACATTTGCATCTTGACCAGCAAGCCTCTCACACAAGGTTATCACCTATAATCAAGACACATTTGATTATCACCTATAATCAAGACTCATCTAAGTAAATCTCACATCTTGAGCATGTCATCAAACTAGAAGAATATTTATAAGTTGCAACAAAATTTACCTACTAAATTTTTTACCTAATCTAAGTTAGTTTACTACCTAAAAGAAGTATATACTGTTTCCAATTAGTGGCTGATTCTAATTCTGACGAGAAGTTGCTTCAGAGTAGCTATGCATTAGCCAGAAATAAGTTTCTTACCAAACTTTGCTCTATGAATCATTCCATTTCAATTTTACAGGCAGTGGTCAATGTCAACTTCCCTTAATGTATATCAAACCGAAATTATATGCTGTAATCCTCCATAATCGTGGTCACGAGTTTTACAGGCAGATTGCAAACTAATTTTAATAACAAAGTAGCGTGTTCTTTTACACATTCAGCACACTTTCCCTTACCTCTTGGGTAGTCCAGGCACGAGGACCAGCAAATGTGAGAAGTTTTCCAGTGATATTCTCATTGCGTAGAGCTATAAATGTTAATCGGGCAATATCCTGGTAATCATGTACATGTCGGGACACTAAGCATCAGTAGAATATCAAGCATAGATTTTTATTTTTTTCTTTCTACCCCATTTTATGATATCAAGAGCATATAAATCCACATCATTTTACCTGGGTGTCCATGTAAGCTATTCTTGTAGGAGCATCTGTGCCCCAAACAGATTTCTCTTCGAGAATGGGTACTGCATACTGCCCAATCAGGCCCTGAAGGTAATAAACCACAGCTAAACACCGTAGGCAAAATTATAAAACGAAATCAAGAAAGAAAAGGAACTATTATCAATAAATAACAGTTCAACAAAGGCTACGAAGTGCAGACAGAGTTGTTCAAAATATGTGAGTGCCAAATGATAAAAAAAATATGAGTTAACTTAGGTAGTTCATACACATTGCAGATCATATTATTATTATTATTATTTACTCAACCTGCTATACTAAATAACTCAGAAACTTCACAAACCTATCCAGAAGAACCTAATAAATGAACAATTTGACAAAATCAAACATTCAGCATCCTATTCACCTGCATGAAGCCACAAAGTCGGATAGTTATGTGGTTGAGGCCTGAATCACGAATAAACTTCTCGGTGCAGTACTTAATCTCCATAAGCGGAACCTCAGGATGCTTGTCACAATTGTGGATGGAGAAGAAAACAAACTTTTGGACCCCCATAGCCTTTGCACATTGTATAAGAGCAACTTTTCCTTCCCAATCTACCTAAAAAAGGGAAATTGTGTACAGAGAACGACAATAAAAACATTCATTATATTCTGCCAATCATCAAACACAAAAAGGCCACACAATTGGCATGTTTCTTTTTGCTCACGGTTTTTATGGGCTCCTCCGGACGTCCCGTGGCACAGTCAATCACCGTATGTATGCCGACTAATGTTGCTGGTATAGTCTCAGGTTTGCTCAAGTCTGCCTGCTCAAGGTACCCACAGTTAATATGTTTCTACCCTTAAATTCCTTTCATTTTTTTTGATACTTTTTCTAAGGTCCCAGATAACAAGATTTAAGCTTTTGAGCTCATCCTGACGCAAATCACAATTTCTTAAGCAATGGCACGAGAAATTGCTCAAATAATGCCCAAATTGAAATTGAGCAATGCATACGTAATTTCACAAAAAAATAAATAAATAAATAAATAAAGAAAAAAAATGGGGGGATTGCGGGTAAATTTACATTGACAACTGTAGCGCCCCAATCGCGGAGAAAATCAGCAGGGGCAGGTCGAGGCCTGACGAGACACCTGACGTCATATCCCTCGTCTAGGGCTCTGCGCACAATCTGCCGGCCCAGTGTGCCTGTGGCACCCACAACCAGTACGCTCGTTGGCCTCACTGGAGTCCCCGGAGCCAGATTGACCGCGGCCGGCGCTGCTTGGGCATTGCAAGTTATCACCGCCGTTTTACTCCTGCCTGACCGACCACAGCTTACCATCGACAACGATGTTTTGTTTACATATACAATTTGGAGAATTGAGAATGGAATTTGAGGATCATACCTTTAGGGATGAAAGTTGGGGAGATGGGGTGAGAGTGAGAGGGAATGGAATCGAGTGGCAAACTGTTGCAGCGCCATGAAAGTGAAGCGTGGGATTGTAGGTGGTGAAGTTTGAGAGGGGTGGATATGAGCGTGGACGCCATTGATGCCTGACCTGACCTGTCCTGTCCTGTGTGTTGTATGCGTATCTTTCTGTCTGTAAAGCAGAGAAAGGGGATAAGAGATGAGAAAGATGCCACGTCGCCAAATTCAGATACTAACTACTACGGCTAGACATGACCACGGGCCGAACTGGCCTCTTAAGGGACGGTTCGTTCAACCGGAACCTGTAGGACCGCGATCGATCCCGGTTCATACACTCTTTGTTTTTGACCCGCCGGGCCAGGCCGGGTCGCGAGTCACGTTGCTCTTTTTTTTTTTTTAGATTT